TCCTTATTTCTAAGAAACGGCCTTATTTTGACATGTGTGTTTATTTTCGTCCTTATTTTATGGGTAGATGACTATAGGTTCTAATACCAGGCACTTAGATTGGATATTTCGAATGATCGATTTGCTAGAAATGATATTTTACAACCTCATTGATTGCTACGCGCATTCATTACGTAATAACAGCAAATTAATTGACACAATGACAAAACAATAGCCTATCGGCCGAAATCAGTTTGTGTAACTTGAATCGAAAAACAACTTAAAAGTGAGATGGAACAGATTGTTTCTAAGAATGAAGAACTGCTGAAGCAAATCTTTTCTAGTGTAAAGTATGATTAGACACGGGTCGCACTGGCATAAATACATTTTGTTTATTACATTTTGTTCTTTGGTATTCTATTATTATATTTCCCAGATGTCCCTATTTTTGGGTTCATATCGACGGCCTGCTAATAGATCACCCTGGAAGAGACTGTTTATGGCGAATGAGGGCATAAAGCCACTTCTATTCGATAATCAAAATTTACCTTAAACTGACTGTGGGCAAGTAATCTATCGAAAGGCTTAATTTGTCACATTATAAAGAATACTTATCGGCTTTCCTCTTACAAAGATATTAAATGTTTTAAAATTAAATTTTTAGATCTGACGATATTTCCTGCTAGATATTGTCGTTTTCCCGGGAAAGAGAGACTACAACACCTCAATGAAGTAAACAATGTGGGAACACGGCCAAGTGACACTGAAGGAATAAACAAAGCTAATGATGTCACAAATGTAATTGCGTCATATGATGTCACAAACAACAAGGAATCAGCTGTGAAAACTAGACCTCAAAAGGTATTGTTTAATTCCTGCATACGATAAATTCCGATAAATATGACTTGAAGAAAAATGCTTTGATGCTTTGTATATGCATATTCCCAAAAGCATACAAGCCACATTTCCGTCTATAGAAAATTGCCACAATAAACTTCAAATATGACGTACCCGCTACTTCTATTTCTGTGTTAATTTTAAGCAACGGTAAGAAAACGACATATACCGACAGTATAAATCCGTACTTATATAATAATAAATTTATTAGTTATATGATTTTGATATGCAAGTGAAGTCGTTCGATGGCCACAGAAAATTTGTTCATAGGTCGTGATTGGCCCACAGGCCACAGTTTGACGGCTACTGCCTTAAGAAGGTCAAATCTGTTTTCACTGGGTTTTCCAAAAATCTGACTTCCGCTTTCAACAAATATGTTGATGCCGGAAGTCTACAATGTGGTGACCCGTAACGCGTGACCTTATCAGGGCATACATCGATTACTTGTTTACTGGTTCAGTGTAAAGGAGCTTTATTTATTGGTAAAATGAACGGGCAAACATACTTTCTGTGGTGTTTTTCAAACTTTTTTCGGTACTCCCGTATTTTGTGTACCAGGTTAAGGTTAGGCCATAATTTTGTTCTGATTTTCTTTATTTTAGTTCCATTACGAGTTTGGAGACTGTCTGTTCTAGCCAAGTGAATATATCCTCTTTCCATAGGTTCCACTCTCTTTATACAAGTTGATATAAAGTGGGCGAACAAAATTAGTTACCTCCATATTGGTAAACATACTCTGGAGCGACCTTTTATCATGACGACCCAACATGCGCTAACAAATTTTTTCGCGACCCCTCAGAAACTACATTAAAAATGAAGTAAGATTTCATAACACAGGAAATATTTCCTCTCAGTGCCTATTCGACTTTTAGTAGAAAGTTTCCTCGACTTTGCATTGTTTAAATTAAACGTACAGAAATATATCGTGCATTTTGGCTGTGGTGATTTTGTAATTACATAACTTCGGTGTTTTAGATTTGAAAGGATGCGCACTGGAGATACTCTATTACAGTGGTTCCCAACCATGGGCCTACAGTTGGTGGTGCCACAATGGCAGCCGCAAAACTGATTTTCCTTTTTCTGTGACTTATTTTTAATTAGAAATACTCTCCGTTCTTCCTTGTTACTTATCGATCTCTATAAGTATGTTGATATGTATTTGTTTGTCTGTTAGATGCACGCCATATCTCACGAAAGCGAGGTTGAATTCGCTCCAAATTGTGCATTCATCATATCTCGGACCAGAAGCCTATTGCTTTTGGATGAATTATGTCGTATAATTAGCGAGTTATTGATTAATTGGCGATTGTACACACGATGTCACTTAGAGTAAGAGCGGATGAGTCGAAACCGCAGTTTCTGTTTTGGGGGGATCCCCTAACCTTCGATCGATAAGTCTTCGGTATTCTCGTTTCATTGCTTGAGAAGGTTATTTTACGGGGTTTTCACTTTGTGGAGCATGAATTGTTTTAATATAATAGCTTTTAAAATCTACCACTCAGAACAAAATACTATAAATACCACTGGAATAATAAACAAGGGGACCGTGAGCGCTAAAGCCTCTGAAAGTGGACCACAAGGTAGGACACCACTGATATAATATGTTATTCATCTATATTGATTTATTTGTTGCAGATACGGACAGACAAACCAGCGACAAAAACCTCGGCACTGCCATTTCCCAGCCCACATCAGAAAAACACTGAAATCCCAGACCCATGGAGAAAAACCAAATTCAATTTTCACCTGAATACAAACGCACTTTCAAGATCTGAGTCAGCAAAGGTTTCATCAAAGCAACCTCTCTCAAGATTGATTACCAGAGCAGATTTTCAAGAAAAAAATGTTCATCCGCGAGATGATGCTGGAGAGACACAAAAAGCGACCAGATCGAGAAAGCGTCGTCAGAAAAGGAAAATTAAACAAAAGCGAAAGACGAGGGACGAAATCCGTCACAAATTACGTATGAGATTGCTTGGCGTGAACCGGATATCCGAATCCGGCACGACCGGGTCGTATAAATCGGATAATAACGAACAAATCTCGGGATATATTGGTAATAGGGTATACACAGATTTCATATCAGGGTCGACGGACACCAGTGGTGAGGGGAGTCAACCCGGATTGAAATTCTCGCGGCGTAGACTGCATTCATGCGGAGAATGGTGCTTAGCTAGACCAAGTGGAGTTCGATTAGCAGAGAGTACTCTATTGGAAGAAATATGGAGACATTTGAACGTCATTGCAGAGAGATCAAGATTATCAGAAGGTAAAATAATTTTGTGACAGAGAGTATTAAGATATTATATATTAAACTACGAATCCGGATATTTTGTACAAAGCCATCGTCAAAAGAATTCCCAACGATCAAAATGAGAAAATTAGAAATAATCCAGTTAGGATTAGGAATACCGATTGCGCTGGAAATTCACATTTAAAAAAAAAATTTCTAACCCTAATCTGAACTGGATAAATACAATTTTTTATTGGAAACCGTGGCCGGTGCTGTTCTCAAATATCACATTTTGCATTATAGGCACAAGCCCCTACGTGTTGTGTACTATCTACTTTGGATTCGTATGTGACCGTTGCCACAGGGTTGCTTGGACGAAATAGTATTAGAGTGGGGTGATAAACCTGTAAAACATCCTTCGAAACAAAATGTTCTTTTTTTAATGTTCTTAAAGCCAGGTTATGCATATCCCTCAGAAGAGAGACTCATCCCTGAGCAAAGTCGCGGCGGGATACTCAATTTTTTTTTAAACTTTTTAGACTCATCGTCTTCCCGTCTCAGCCAATCACTGACAAGTAGCGATGATTCCTCAACCAATCAGCTGTCGAATCGCAGTCAAGGAGACACTGCAGAAGAATATGACGCAATCGATGATAGTGAAGTCATAGTCGATCGTTATGACGTACAAAATATGTCCGACAACGGATATTGTACATATGGACATGTGCCAGTGAGGCTACGATCTGGTGGCATACGCCTTCAGCCAGTGGGCGATCATATATTAATAGAACCTTCACATTCCGATAATTATAGTCCACCCGGTTCCAACCAGCCTATTTCGTTATTGCAGTTGCCTAAATATGAGATGTGCGTAAAGACAGCGGTGGCAAACACAGCTATCTCTCCAAATTCTCAAATGAGTAAAGTACTACAAAGTCCTCCAGAAGCAGGGTTGCATATTCCAGACAGCAAAAGAAATATCAATTCCGAGACGCAAAAAATAAAAATCGCAAATCGTAATAGTTACGTTAATGTTGACATTTTTGTTCCCACGGGTTACAATGACGCCACACATTCTTCTATCCTTGATCCAAATCTAGTAAAAGTGAATGACGTAGGCACTGACGTCATTGAAGCACCTGGAATCAATGTTATTGATGAAATTCTCAATAACAGGAAACATGACAGCATAATACCAATATATGAAAGGCTAGAAGATTTTTCTTCTATTTCGTCATCATGCTCGTCATTGGTGACGTCATATCCAACCCTGTCTCCAATGGAAATCAAAATTCCAGAATCTTTACTGAGAAAAATATCACAAGAAACCGAAATGTGCGTGGAATCGAGCAATAAGGAAGAAAAGGCACAGTTCGAAGCAAAGAAAGAGAAAAAAAGTGCAAATGATCCTGGAAGGGTCAATGATACAAATGACCTTGAAAGGGACAATGCAACAAATGACCTTGAAATGGAAAATGCAACAAATGTCCTTAAAATGGACAATGCAACAAATGATTTTGAAACAGCCAATGCTTCAAATGACCTTGAAATAGGAAATTCTACAAATGACCTTAAAATGGTCAACGCTACGAATGACCTTGAAATGGTCAATGCTACAAATGACCTTGAAATGAAGAACGCAACAGATGACCTTGAAATAGTTAATGCTACAAATTACCTTGAATTGTCCAGAGCAACAAATGACTTTGAAACAATTAAAGCTACAAATGACCTTGAAAATCATGTTGTTCCCAAACTCCCACCAAAGCTCTGCAGACTCAAATCTCAAATGGTCAACGAAACTGAACAAACTTCTATAAATGACACTGAAAATATCTTTCCAAATAACTCGAAGTCTTTAGCTCAAAATCCTAAGAGTAACAACAATCTGTCCGAAGAGACCAAATTTATTGACAAATATACCGCTGTCAAACCTAAAAGCAAGAGACAAAACACAAAAACTGGCAACGCTAATTTGTCTCGAGAAGAAAAACTTAAAGTGGAAAAAGAACAACCAAACAAGCGTAAAAACTACATTGTTGTATCTCCGTCTAAACTTTTAAGTAAGAGATGCACAGAAAAGCGTAGCAATGAGCTCTACGTCACTAGTGACGTCATGTTATGATGGCATCGTCTTCAGTTTGAATTGTATTCATTACCTAATATTGGCTTTTTTATTTCTGTGCGTAATTTTATTTTTTAAACGCTTATTACTGAAAAGAAGAACATTTTGATGACGTTAATATTTGTGACGTAATATAATCATCAAAACAAAATTTTAGTTTGCAATTTGCAGCTATTTTAGTCTAAGACTACGGGCAGCTAAGTATTTTAATGGGATGTCTTTAACATTTATTCCCGAACGAGACTGCAAGCAAGCAGCAACAAATATGTAAGCAAGTGGGTCTCAACCTTTTATGTCTAATGTCCCGCTGTTTATCATTCCAGTGCTATCTATAGTGTTATTTTGATTGGTATATTGCAAATCCAAAAAATCCTTCAAAATTTGTTTTTTGCGCTCAATATTTCCTCTCAAAAGAAACCATCCTTGCGTTGACATACACAAGGTGGTGCTATGGAGTCGTGTATAACGGGTTGCTCTAGCTACGGTTTCTATCTAGTTATTCTGCCACGAAACACAGTTATTTATAGGCTTCTTGGATTCTATTTTATATATTTGAACTTTCTCAAACACATTATAACCAAAACTATATAAAACTAGTATTCAACGAATAGTTCTTCAAAACGTGTTGCATTTACAAAAATTAAATGAATTTTCCAGTAGTTTTTTCATCCGAGGCACAAGATTGGGTGGGACTGTTCAGATTATTTGATTAGAAAAACCATTACAATTCGAACGAAGCAAAGAGGGGCTGGTCAATATTTGATTACACTTCTTTGCGTGTCATTTTTATTTTGTGTGGGAGAAATTAAAACGGAGCCAGTCTATGAATTTTAATGCACATAACCTATATATAATTGATATCAGCGAAATTGTGATATCAGTACATCTACGAAAAAAAGTTTCAATAGTAAATAAATTGGAAATAGATTTAAACCCTGTCGTTTTATACAATTCTGACTAAACGTGAACATAATAAATCATATTACATATAAGTAAAATAGTTAAATCATATGTGTCTGATAGGCAGGCTTGTCGATGAGAAAAAAATTGCCATAAACAACGGAAAATTTTGAGAAAATGAAAAATTTTTAACGATCGGCATGTTTTTTTGCTGTTGGCATTGAAACGAAATATCAATCCAAACTTCAGGTAAAATGCACATTACTAGGGTGACAGCAAAACCCACGTGTGAAATTTCAATCAAATAGGCCAAGCCGTTTAAACAGATACAAAGACCGGCTGAAAATAAGGCTCTCCAAGAGAGGAAATCCAATATAATTGTAGTAGTTAAAGCATGTGTGGTCAATGGGCAGGCTTGTCCGTCAGAATGAGATTCCCAAGGAATGGGGCAGTAGCCATGTCATAGCAACTTGACTACTCGAGAGCTAACTTCATACTTTTTGCCTTTAAAATTTATTTTACCCTTTTTTCATACTAACATGTATTTATTTATTTATTTCGTGGTGGTACACCGGCAAAGTTGTTCATGAGAATGGGTACCTATGGAAATCCCCAGTTTTGCCCATGGGGAAGGGCTTCCCATGAAATGAGATGGTGCAGAAAAATATGTCATATGAACAATCCTGATAATTGGACTGCTTGCATGAGAAAATTTGCGTTAAGTCAGACGAAACGTTACAGAATAAAATTTATAAAAGTGTGGTACAAGAGCCAATCGGGTATCATCATTCTTTCGCCGGATTGTTGTAAAGTACTTGTCTGCGAAATTCTGACTTGACTGACGGAACGTTGCAAAAAAATTTGAGAAAGCGTAATAAAAGAGTTTAATTATAGCTTTTTGATTCTTGTAAAGTTATTTGTACAGTTAATGCATACCTTCTTCAGACAAGCATTTTACAATTGACTTCCGTCCAATTAAACGCTACAAAGTACAATTTGTGAAAGTTTAATGAACAACTTTTATAACAAGTTTGCTGGAAGCAAAAGACTCTTGAATCACCCATTATAACTTGTTTGCAAGTATAAATTAAGTATGATTTTATTACAATTTTTTTACAAATTATATATTTTGTTTATAGCTTATTATTATACGTTTAAAGTAAATTTATGCAAATAAGCAGTAGATTGAATGATACAGAAAAACATTTAACATCATATATTGGGAATGAAGTGAACACGTGTGTATGATATCGTATTTTAACAATCGCGTAGTGAAAACTACACGACAGAAAATATGGAATCGGGCAAATATATATGATTTTTAATTAGGGTCATTATCATAAATCCCGGCACAATTGAAATTCGAGGGCTAATGTGTAGCGATGGGCATTTCGAATGGAATAATACATTTTTCGAATTGGTTCATACGAAAATTTAGAATCGCCGCCATCTTTTTTTTTGCCCGCCAAAATCCGGTAGTGAATCCCTTTAAATCAATTATAGTCGATATAGGGTTTGTAATAAAAACATTTTCATTTGAAGAATTGTTGATAAATAGAAAAATCACGAAACAAAATGAATACTTATTTTAAAATTTTACACTCTTAAAACTAATTATCATGAAGTTATAACGATTTCTGCATTTTCAAATCTCTACATGACTCTATATAGAATATAACAAATATACCAAAAGCAATTTTTTTGTCTCAAAAGTTTAGCCAATTTCTACTCCGTTTCCGAATAATCTAGCCACCACGAGATGCCTTTGCACAGATGCTGATGTGAATGCATGCAGAGACGAACATTCCAATTGCACATATGTCCAGTAGTATATGCATGATGACTAGGAAATGGAATCCCTGAAAAACAATATTCATTTTAGTTTGTCAACTTAAATTTGCAGAATTTTGTTATTTATTAAGCTCAAAGTGGTAACCCTTTTATTAGTACTTTTAGTTGAAAGCTCGAAACCTTCTATCAGTACTCTTTCGACAAATAGTTGAGAACTGGGAACCTGGCTTTGAACTTTTTCATATTTACTTGGGAGCTCGGGACCTTACTTTGAGCAAACTTGCAACTCTTCTGTCAGTACGCTTTTCACTTTTAGTTGAGGTCTCGGGACCTTGCTTTGAGAAAACTTGTAACTCTTCTAACAGTACTCTTTTCACTTTTAGTTCAGTGCTAGGGACCTTGCTTTGAGCAAACTCGTAACTTTTTTATCAGTTCTGTTGAGGCCTCGTGGCCGTGGTTTGAACAAACTTGTATATTATTTCAAGTAACTAGACACTATACCCGTGCAGCAGCTGTCACTAGATAGATCAAATAGGATTCATAATAAATCATTCCAAGACAACCGAAGAGAGAGAGAATTGCCAACACCATGCCTCCAACAACCTGAGATATAGAAAGTCAAACATTACATATGAAGCGAAGAATGAAAATATAAAGCATAAGCATGCAAATAGGTCAAGGTCGTCTAAGCCAGTGGTCTTTAACTATTACGGTGAGGCGGGACCCAAATGAAATATTTCATGAAGGCGCGAGAAACCCCTCTGCAATAGTTTAATTATCTTTATTATTTGAATTGTATAAACTAAAAATATATAAAAAAGCAAACGTAATATTGACAAAACAAAATGATTTTTAAAGTGTAGCAAGTTTAATAAAAGTGGCAACCCTGTATTTGAACATATTTTGAAATTCCCGGATTTGAATAAAGACTTACGGAACCCTCGACCGTATTGACGGAACTTTGGGGTGCTGCAGACCCCGATTGAAAACCACTAGTCTATGCCTACCCCCACCTGATTGTGGAGTGGCAAGAAACCTTTAGCTCTGTGCGATTCGTCCATCTCGAACCTGATATGTTCGGGAACGAATGCAAATATCGGTACTATCATATTAATTCTACGCCATCAATTTTTTTTATCTGCATGTTTGTTCTCTTCATCTTAGGTTGGCTAACAATAAATTAGTATATTGTCACACATTCTAATTTATCTTAGCTCAAGATAAAGGATCAGAAAATTAATGGTAGTGCAATGATAGGATAGTACTAGGCAGACCCATGTCATACGAAGCCAGAGGTTTCCAGGGCGGGCGTGTACGAACAAGTAGTTGAGCTTTCTCGGGCGGACGTGTACGAACAAGTAGCTGAGCTTTCTCGGGCGGACGTGTACGAACAAGTAACTGGGATTTCTAGGGCGAACGTTTACGAACAAGTATCTGAGCTTTCTAGAGCGGACGTGCACGAACAAGTAACTGGGATTTTTAGGGCAGACGTGCACGAACAAGTAACTGAGGTCAAAAGGGCGAACGTACACGAACATAGAACTGAGGTCAAAAGAGCGGACGTGCACGAACACGTAGTTAAGATTTTCAAGGCGGCGTAATTACCTTGTTTGGACAAAAAGCACAAAAAAACACAATGAAAGCGAATCCTTTTTAGAAAGCCCCCGTCACTAATAAAAATATGTAAAATTTGAGAAAAACACCCTCGCCACGTTTTAATTACGGCAGATTGCACTCGCTGCCTTTTTTATTTTAATCGGTGGCGAGGGTATTTTTTCGGCTTTCTACAAAATATCCCAAACAACTTACATTGCATTGATTAGCTTGCTTGTATGATCCTATGGCAAGTCCTCCGCACACACAGAACTGAAAAATAACAAAAACGAGGTTAGGTCAAAAACTTTATTCATTCTTTATGGGCGGATGGGCTCACAGCCTATTAGTAAAACGATTGAAAACTTACAGCGCCCATTTCAACTAAACATTGATACATCGCTAATTGACCCAAAAAAAAATCGAGTCTCCGCTGTACTCGAACGGAAATCCGGTGCACGAACATCAGAGCGCGCCGCCGAGTGAGATGACGCAACCTGAACCGCGCACCTCGGCTGCCTCTTGACCACTCAACAAGAGATAGACGCTCATATATATGGGCACAAAGGCCAAAATGAAGTAGTACGGGCAATCTGCCACAGTAGACTACTAACAAAACAAAAAAATTCGATTTGAAATTTGCCCAGTCCTGTCTGAAACTTTGAGTCTCATTTTCAGAGTTTTAAAAAAGGTATTAGTGGCTGCTTGTTCAGGGTCTTATTTGAAGTGGAGAATAACATTGGTGTTGATTCTAAACGCAACAGAGTTTGACAGAATTCTAGTTGAAAATCACTGCTTTATACAACCACGACCTTTGACCCTGCTGACGTAGACTGTTCGTCCTTCAATGGTTTTTGATTTGAAGGTTGATTTGAAATTTTCTGAATAATTTTCCCGTTGCCGATTGACTGCTACGCATCCGATTTCGATTGAAAAATAAGCCTGCCTGACACAAATATTATTTCAAGAGTCGAAACCTCCCACATCCTATTTATTTTTCGATTTAATGTTTATTTAGTGTATTGGGTCTAAGCTGCTCTATTGATACATTTTCTGCGGACTATCTATTTATGTTTTTGCACCGGTGGATCCATATGCAAGGATGCTGTATCAAGGATGCCATTCTAAGTGATTCATGAGTCTTGCTGCGCACTGACACAAATATATTTCTGTAACGTTTCGTCTTGACCTCGGTCAGGCTTTCTCAGACATACATTATTTAACTATGTCTGGGGAAATTTGAGTTTGGCCAGTCGAAACATTACAGAAAGATATTTATGTCAGTGTGCAGTATGATCCTTTAATTATTCAGGCCCAGACATCGCCGTTTGATATTAAAAAAACTCCAATTTTGAATAAGCCAACCTATTTGTTTATTTTTAATTTTTGTATGTCTTGCACGTCTTTCGAAGCCAACAATCGAAAGTAAAATAACAAATGTTTAACATTCAAAGAATTGTGAATGTCTTTGGGTCGCAAGCTCGGAGAATTGCTCCCAATAGCATCTATCGCCTACCCAAATGCAGTCTGAAGTCTGGTTTATTATTTGCACATGGCTTATTCAGACCTTTCTCTGCGAACAAGGCTTTGTACAAGCATTCTAACTAAAAAAAAAAAGAGTTCGAATGGTTCAAATCTTTCCGGCTCGGCCTTGCCTAACTTATTTATTTCAACCGGGCAAGGTGTAGTGCTGGGCATTTTCAAATCAAATACCCAATGAGTTCAGAAGACATGTTACTTCAATAACTCCCCAAAAAAGAGAGTTAACTGTCAGAATTGGCTATTTAAAAATATGGTTTCAACATAAAAACTGACGAATTCAACTCGACCTCTTGGTGGACAAAAAAAACAAGATAGTGGCCATTTGAAATTTTTAGCTGGATCGATTCGAATAATTCACTACTCTATTCTAAATGCCCAGCTCTACTTTTCGTCCGAACCGATTTGAATAATTTACTACTCGAATCGATTCACAGCAATTGAAGTCGTGATGTGTAAACTGCGATGTTAACACAGTTAAGTCAAACGCTTCCATCGCAAGGCCGCCCCCTTCCTCCTGGATAAGTATCGGGCGTAATTAAATTTGTTCATATGGGGCAAATTCAAATATACAAATTTGGTATACCGCAAACCAGGGAAATCCAAGGCATTAATTCAGTCACTATTCTTAATAAAATCTGAAACACGGTTTCTACAGTTTACAAAATGGTTTTTGGTCTTAATTTTAATACTTCTATTTCCTGAAATTACAATTTATTGAGCAAAACTATCCTAATTGTCGGAAATGGCGCGGTACATAACGTTTACGAGACCAGGGGCGTAGCCAAGTGGAGTGCCCTGAAATTTCTAATTGCTAAGTTAGACAGTAACAGCTAGCAGGTACCGAAAACGTTTTCAAGAGTCTTGAGGGTTTAAAATGCGTTTCAAGCTACGAGCAATTGCTATGTATGATGCAGAAAAATGCTTTTTGGACACGTAGTGGACATAACGATCGTTTCAATATTATGTTGTTCTTGTTGTTTGACACAGAATAACACACCTAGTGGAAATATTAAAAAAACGCTTTTCTCTTCGAATACTGGACCAATTGCTTTGAAATTTTCAGTGGTTGAAGATAAAATTTTTCCCTAGAAGACTATTACTTTTATTCATTTTAAATATTTCTGTTAGCTCTGTGAGATTTGTTTTTGTTTGCTATGACGTCTATAAACGTTCTGCGGGCATCGGACGCCATTTTGTGTCCTACTGTACTGCTTCGCTTGAAGTGAATATATTTGTAGACTGTGATCTGACGGTACGGTAAACCGTACTGTACTGCAAACAGACGTGTCCATATATTTGGGCGTAGCTCTCTTGTTTTACATTTCAAAAGGAGGTTACCGACCCTCAAAGCCCCTGTACGAGACTCCTCTATACGTCTATTCTCAGAAATTTATCTTATTGTATATAAGGGTGGTCCAAAAGTAGGTATACAGTTATTAAACTATTTTATATGCTTTGAAGCTACTTGCAGTTCACTTCATGTTACTTGGTAATTACCACAAAAATTGCCTATTTTTTAGATAATAAATCTAGTGTGAATTTTACATTAGTTTTCTAGCTGCTTGGAAGGTAATAAAAAATAAATAAAATAACTGTATACCTACTTTTGGGCCACCCTGTACATACACTTTATTAGGAATGGATTCGATTACCGAATTTTATTTTAGGAATATTTTTGAGCGGGTGCAGAATTCATATTTATTTTTAAAAATAGTATCCTTATGAATGTTAGCTTGGACCTTTCTTTCCTGTTGAATTTTGAATTTTATGAATTTTTTTTCGTTACCGATAGACGGATGGATACACATCCGGTTTTGATTGAGAGAGGCGCTATCGAAACGTTTTAAAATATAATCAAGTGGGCAAAATAACAATATTTATCCTATCCCACAGATAGTGATATTCCAATATAACGCTACGTGCCAGATAAGAAACTCTAATTTGAGTTTGGCGTAGGTTTAAGATGAATCATATCCGGCAAAAATACCTGCTATCCTGTTGTCGATAGACCGAAATTTTCCCATTTATATTCCACGATTAAACAAAAGTGGAACGTTTTAAAACCTACAAGCATGTGTGGTAATTTTTTTTATCCAGCAACGCTTTACGTCAGTGGTTTTCAAACGGTGGGGCGCTCCACAAGGGGGGCGTAAACAATTTTTTGACGGGACGTGAAGATAATTAAAAATAAAAACAACTGTTATATTTGATCTTGCTCGCCTTGTTTTGGATATTTACATTTCTTTATTTTGGGTATTTACGTTCCATCCACGTATTTTCAACTTGTTTTTTGAATATAATATACTTTCGCCTTACTCATTGTTATTTTTTATGTATATTTTTCCGTTACCGATGGACGGATACGCATGCGGTTTTGATTGAAGGGAGCGCTATCAAAACTTTTCAAAATATAATTGTGTGGACAAATAACGATACCTATCCTATCACACAGATCAGTGGTTTCTAACCTATTTTTCAGATGATCCAAATTTTAAAAAATGTAAATTTTTTGAAATCTCGCGACCCAGAAACATGCTTAAATGCTGAAAAATGCTTAAATGCTGAACGCTGTGCTCGTTTGCCATCGGCGATATTTTAAAACAATGTCATAGCTTCATTTAAGTCGCCATCACTCCCGCTACATCAATGGCTCCCAGCCGTTTTATTAGGCGACCCAATTTTTTTGAAAAATAAATTTCGCGACCAAATAATACGCTCAAATACTATATGGCGTATAGAGTTTTTATGGCCGCGATATGACTAATATAAAACAATCATTTTTACATAACGTTTTTTTTTATAAATTACCTCAAATTCAGAAAGTAGTGATATTTTTCCAATGGCGAGTTTTTAAAATTATGCAAATGCTGCCAAGTTTTTATGCTGTGTTACTTTCCACATAGACAATCCGACATATAGAATACGACAATTCGTATTGAAGCAACACAATAAAATTTACCAGAAAATTAAATCAGTAACTTTTAGGTTTTGTTGTTTTGAGCCGCGACCTATAGGTTGGGAAACACTGAATCACACGATTATCCACCAGAAGTTCAATATTAATTAAAAAACGAACAATAAATTTTTTTAGCAAATAGTACCAAGAACTTTAAAGTTTTTATTGAAAAAAAAAATATAGCGAACCAACAGGATTTCGAGGCGTTGGGAAACACTACTACGACGTTTTTTGGCCTAACGTTACGTGCTAGGCTATAAACTCTAGTTTCGCTTACGTCTGAGGTGACTCATGTCCGGTTCCGCACAAACCACCGATCCGAATCATTCATATTCTTAACGCGGTTCACACCATGACTCAGAAAAAGTCTCCCGAAAAGCAGGTATCTTATAAGAGAATATTTAAACATACAAATATTCCGTTTCTTTGTAACCAGGGTTTTGTCGCAAACAGGGCCCTCCATGGACAGTTCCCGGGGGCCACAAGCACGGGCCTTTACTAGGTCCAATTTATGATGACTACATCAAGTTAAAATAAATGAACTGTAGTATGTTATTTTCTTTGATAGTTATGCATTTATTCTTTAATTTTAGTTTGTTGGGATTTACTATTGAACATGGCGAATAAAATAACTAACGGAAACCATTTTATATGAAAGAGTAGAAACCACGGAGTGTTAAGAGCAGGGTTGGATTAACCGTTGATCAAAATAAGCCCGTACTTGGGCACCAAGGAAAGGGGGAATCACGAATATTCAATGGCGCCCGAATGGAAGGATTCGAGTTAGTCAGACCATTCAGACCTCAATGTTGACCGGTTGAATTAAATTCTTGCTCATTTTTCTTTCTGAAGTAAATTAATCATAATTTGGCTTTCAATCAGTATTGAATACTGAAACTGTTTATTTAATTTCAGATAACGAAGAACACTTATAGGGTCTCAAGTACCCTGCTAAAATGCTTAAAAACAGTGAAAAACCGTCAAAAAACACCAATAACCCTGCTAAAACGCGACGCTTACTTGTGCCTTCTGCGCAAAACAAGGCCAGATGGAAGCAGCCACTAATATCCAACAAAATATTACAGAATCTCTCTCAGACTTTCCAGGGTATGAAAGCGCGCATTTTCATCTCGATTAAATCATTTGGGAAAAAGATCACCAAGCCAGGACGAGTCAGATTTTAGGTAAATCAAGAATAGATTAAAATCGGATTTAAAAAGACGTAAGAATTTGTGTCACACCGCAAATGCCGCAAAATTGCATTTAAAAAAAATGTTTAATTTTTTATATATATATGTGTGTGTCAGGAGGGGGGGGGGGCATGATTCCAATGTTCTGTACATATTAGCGTCCGCGTGTCCTGAGCCTTGTTCAGAAATAACAGCGAAAAAACGTGAATAATATTTAGATAATGACACGTCATCCGACCATAACATGTGGGTCATTTAATATAAACGATACATCTCCGCCCTCATGCCTTTACTGTTTGTTTTTTTGCTGTTAAACTAGCATATACAATTCGCTTGGCCAAATGAACTGGAAATAATTCAGTGGTTGTTGACATTACCCCCTTCGCCCTCATAGGTAATGGCAAGAACATTGAGGTTCAAACAGCAAATGTATGTTCACGTAATGTAACGAAAATTCAGAATAGATTTGAAAATGTGATGGGTTCTATTAACCGCTTTAAAAAAAATCAACCGAAATACGACAATATACAGGATGTCGATAAAGTCCTTTTACAATTTCATTTTGTTATGATGTCAGTTCTCAATATATACCAAGTTCATTGTTTTTAATCAGCAATTGTTCAAGTATTTTTGATTCATTTAATACATCCGCTAGGGCCAAAACAATATATGGTATCAATAAATTCTCTTCGAAATTTCATGAACACCCTATATAAATAACACAATGCATGATCAACAGGCCGGCTCAGAGATTAGTCTCCATTATTTCTGAGCCAGTTCACGCTACCAGGCCTTGAGCAAATTTCCCTTCAAACAGCCTGAGCCAGTGGTCGGCAAACTTTATGTATTGCTGGCCCAAATATGCTATTTCCAACATTAAACTCACGCAATGAACAATCGTGAAATTAAACTCAAACTATGATGCACTCGCGACTTCTATTTCTGTGATAATCACAACTTTGAGTTGATATATTTTACATATTGAAATTAATGGGAAAAATTTGTTTTTATGCGTAAAAGTGAGGTTGTTCGAGGACCAGAAGAAAGTTGTATATACAGACCGCGGCGGGGCGCAGTTTGTCGACCACTGGTCTAATCTAAAATTGCGACTATTTCTTACCCATATTCCACAGTAGATCCCAGGAGCTGATGTATAAAGCAGGTAAGTACTGATCCAAATTGCCAGTGAGATGATTTCAAAAACAATGGCGCATCCTCCGAATGTAAGTTCGCTTATCTGTAACAAACAAGAAAGCACTGATCAAACATATGGACACGAAAGCCAAAACAAAGTAGAACGGTTATGCAATCTATTACAGTAGACTACCAGTATCGTAGTCTGCACGACTAATCGCCACAGATTACGCAAACTTTGGTGATGTCATCGCACAAAAAAAAAGAATCCTAATTTTTGAAATATTTAATTGAGTTCCCCAAATTAATGTCTGAAGTTGGTATTCAAATGGACATTACTTACCACAATGATGTCATCAATATGTGTTACGTCATATCTTTTTAAAATTCATTGAATAGTGTTTATATTATTATCTGTCAATTTTTATTATCAGTAGGATATTTATTATCTTTCTGTCTAAATGATGTTTTCAGTCATTCATTTATTGACAGAACCAATTACAATAAAAAAGTCGCATACATTTATATATCTCCCAAGTATTCGAGATTCGACTCGATTCTAAAATGATAAGGTAATCGAAAACGCCCAGCCCTACTAACTATAAAGATAGACACTACTTGCTGCAATTTCGCCAGCTGCAGTTTATTTATCTCCTTGACCGAGTTTAGCGAACATGAATGTTTTTTTTAACATTTCAAACCAAAAGTCTGAAATCCGCTGACTCACCCCGATCTTTTTGAATTCTTCTTTAAATGCATCTCCTGGGTGACCGCTCGCTGGGGCCGCAATGACTACTGTAGTTGCCATATTTTTAGGTTTAGGAAAACGATTTTAATAACGCAGAGATAATGGATGCTGGCTGTAAACAAAACAGTAAAATTAGCTCAAACTTTTCTAGATACTTTTTATTTCAAAACTTCAGTTAGCTGGGATTAATTCCCTGCTTTATATCATTTTCTGGCTAATAATTAAGCCGTCTTATCGTCTTTTCTTTCCCCCGGGATTATTACAAAATTTACTATACCAGCCACTGACGTCAAACCCGATGACTAGTGGTTTCCCAACCTTTTTTGTTAAATACCCCCCTTGCCTGTTCAAATTATTTATTCCTCCTTTCCCCTGCATAAACTAATTTACTCAAATTAATAGAATTCTCTGCTAGTGTTACGGCCTAGTCGCACTCCCGTTTTTTTACAGTTGTAGTTCATTCTGTGTTTATGAATGAATCCAATGGCGTATCTACGTAACATTGCGCCCATGGCGAAGTTTAAAAATGTTCGCCTTGATCCCTGACTGAATTTTACGACTGTTGTTGAATCGAGTTGCAGTTGCGATAGTATTTAAACAAGGTACTAATTAGAAATTTGAAATTATTTTTTTTCGAGATATTTTACGATTAAAATATATAGCCTTTTTGCGCCCCTGTTCAAATACCAGACATGCCTGACTCTGGAAACACCACTGTACGTATTTTGAAAAAGATCTAAAGAATATTAGTAATACAGCGAATACAAAGCAAATTCTTTCTAAAAAGCAAAAAATTTCTCTGGGAGAAATCTTCTTTGGTTGGATAACGACGCGATAGACAAGGGGTGAGTGAATTTCGGGGGTGAGCAAGGGGGGGTTGGGCAAATCCGACCCGCCTGTGTCTGCTTTAATTACGACTATAGTTTTATGGATAAAAGTTTCCGTTGAAAATAACATCATAATGACCTCGATTGTTACATTTTGCTTCTCAGTATTATTTATATAAACGTTAGCCTAGCTGTTGTAAATAAACTGTTTTTTAATTATAGTTTCACATGTCGAATTTTGACCCTCCGTCCCAGTAACCCAGTCTATTATCTGTAACTGGCCCACTTGGGTAAGGCCCACAAGTAATTTACCCCTCCTGCCTGCGATAGACAGAGGTTGCTGTTTATTGCTGTAACTACCGCTGAATAACGATACTATTCTCTCATAATGAGCTTTTCCACGTAGCGGATGTATTGATCCAAGTACTAAGGAGAACCTCGTATATAAGATACACTCAGTAATAGTCGAACCGGGCTTGTTCACTCCTAAATCACAGACTAAGCGCGCGAAACTTGGTTTCTTCATTGATTGCGTCAAGTAATTTCACAATAATGGAATGGTAACACTTCCTTTATTATTTCATAATGATGGTTTCTTCCTCTTGTTGTTTACTGCTTTCTTCATCGGGCTGTTGTAACGAAATAAAAAAAAATAGGTAAAAAAATGGAATTTACATGTTATTAGAATTTTGATTTATGCTAAATAACGGCGAAGTATTATTATTTGCCTTGAAAATTTTAGGGACGGGGGTATAACAAACAAAATGCTACCCAAATAGTGACTCACCACATGAGCTAGGCTGGATAATTGGGTACTCCCGCAGTGTGTGTATAATTTTATTCCTATTTTCTTTATTTTAGTTCTATAACGAGTTCGGGGACTGTCTGTGTATACATACACTGCCCATAGGTTTCAGTTCCTTCACACGACTTGATGTGACGTAGGCCAACAAAATTATTTACCTCCATAATGATACACACACTTCTGGAGCGCCGGTAATCGCCCCTCATCTATAAGGTTAAAAAAATAATTGTGAACACTAACTGCTGAAATCGAATATTCTTCTAAATTTAAAACTATCCTACAAGTTAATATTGTGATCTCGTCCATTTATTGTCAATGTAGGTGACCGTACATTTGAACCCACGTACATTTGAACCCATGTGTATATTCGCGGGTTCAATCTATATGCGGTTGCTAAACCCATGGGTTAGGGTTAGTATGGGTTCAAATATCCGTAAAACAACAAAAATGTTCATAGGTGCAATAGTATGCAGGTGCAATCGTCGTGGGTTCAAATGTACGTGGGTTCAAATGTAATGGAACCGTCAATGTACCCGCAAGTGCAAATAAAATTCCGTGGTATTGTCAGTATCGCGCGACGCGGTGGAACAGACAGTAATCAGTAGTTTATTTTCTCACCATACTGGAAGCACACTTGATATCCAAATACAACGAATAATGAAAAAGCATTTCAGGTTGAGGGAACCCGCGGGAAACCAAATTTGGTTATTCGGCTGCGGCAGCCATAAGAAAGTCTAACAAGAAAATACGGTGCTCCCGGAGTATGTGCCCCAAAGGTTATCAGATTGTGCGCCATTTTGCTGCACATACTCCTGGAGCGCCGAAAATAAAACGTCGAAATATATTATGTTATTTGTAAAATAAATACGTCAAGGCAGGCCAACCCGGTATGCCCAGTAGTCGCGCGTTTCAACAACAACAAAAAAACGACCCCGTGCACCAACAATCTAAGTATCCATGATGACAAATATGTTGAGGCAAAATTACAATGAAATCATTTGGAGGCGACTGTGGTCTAATATAGAACATTGTACTTTTGAATGTGTTTGGCGCAGGGCTACAGTGAAACTGATTTTAATTGCTTTAGTATGGATCAAAAATGTCCTATGGACAAGCCTCCGGGTTTTTACTTAACGTATAGCTGTCTTCGTAATCGTACGGGCATGAACTACTTCAAGCAACCGGTATTTTCCGGCGCGTAATGAATTAGCATGAGTCTGTAGTTTCAGTAGCTCATTAAAATTAAAAATTTATCTCGGTTTCTTTTACGTAGATCACCCAAGAAATTGAGTTTCCCGTGCGTAAGATAATGCTATAATCGATGTCTAAAAGGATTATTAAGGTTAAGGGCAATGGTGGAATTGCGTGGTGAACCCTTGCGAACCCGTTAAAGGTTAAGGTTAGCCCATAATTTTTGTTCCAATTTTCCATATTTTAGTTCTATTACGAGTTCGGGAACTAGCCAAGTGACTCCCGTAGTATCTGTACCTGAAATTATGGCCTAACTCTAACATGGTACACATACTGCGTTCCGGTGTCCGCCATATTGGTTCACATACTACGGCAATACCCCGCTGCGAACCCGTTTGAGTAGACGACCCCAACAAATGGGTCATTTGCACCGCAGCTGACGACTAACATTATATTTGGCGCTTCGAAACTTATGTATTACATTTATGTAATACGTGTTACGTTGCGTTGTCATAGAGCAGCGGTTCCATGGTCCGCGTAACGATTTAATATGGTCGGTCGAACTTAAGTGAAATAGTTCAATAATTTATATTTCTTTTTTTTTCGCGTTTAAAAATTTCCAGTTGTTACATCATTAAGACAGTTTGAGGACGTGTATATTCGTAACAATTCATTTATGTCAGTATCTTACTTATACATACCGGAATTGGCCATTTGTGGGCGCTCCCTTCTTCCGGACCGCGAATATCCTTCCGCTTCTAATTCTGGCCCTCGGTGAATCAACTCTGGGAATCACTGTTATACAGCTATAAGCTCGGAATTGTTTTTGAACTGATGAAACCAGCTGCTAGTGAGCTCGACGCAAATGATGGTACTCCCGTAGTGTGTGTACCAGGTTAGGGTTCGGCCATAATTTTAATTATATTTTACTTCTATTACGAATTCGGGGGCTGTCTGTGTTAGGCAAGTAAATATACCCCCTGCTCATAGGTTTTCGACCCTTTACACAACTCGATGTGAAGTAGGCGAACAGAATTAGTTACCTCCATATTGGCACACACATTTCTGGAGCATTCGAAAGAGAACATAATCCTAACATTTTGAATCCCATCATTAATTGAGGGCAATTAATCAATTGATGACACTATACTGCTATCGACCCACCACCCATTGTCTATTTCCATTGATCAGTAATGAGTAATCAGTAGTTAATTTTAAATCATACTAATACACTTTATGAATAAACAGTCTAAACAGGGATGGGCAAATTACGGCCCGCGGGCCGGTCCGGCCCACCGAATTGTTTCATCCGCCCCCTTGTGTCTGCTGAAATAACGACTTTAGTTTTTATGAATGTAAATTTCCGTTGAAAATATCGATGAAAATAACGTCATAATGACCCCAATTGTTCATTATTACTTATCGATTTTAATCGGTAAGTATGTTGATAGGTATTTGTCTGTATGTCTGTTTCTCTGTTAGATACACGCGATATCTCACGAAAGCAAGATTGAATCTGCTCCAGATTTTGCATGTGCATTAATCTTATCTCGGACCAGAAGCCTATTGATGGGCGAATTATGTCGTATAATTAGCGAGTTATCAATTAATTAGTGATGGGACACAAGGTGTCACTATGGAGTAAGAGCGCTGTTTTGGGGGATCCCCTAACTTTCGAGCGATACGTCTTCGGTTTCTGACCAATATTCTCGTGTTTCCTATTATTATATAAACGTTAGCCTAGCTATTGGATTAGCTTTTCTAAATAAACTGTTTTCTCTTTATAGTTTTTCATGTTAAGTTTTGAGCCTCCGGCACAGTAACCTAGTCTATTACGTGTAACTGAATACCAGGAAAACGAATTGCCCGCCCCTGGTGTAAAAGAAGAAAATGGTACTTCGGGAAAAGGGAGACGCCGAAAACCAATATTGGTTATCGAGCTGTGATTCTATTTATATTAAGCTAGGTTATCTTAAGTTAGGTTATAGGACTTTTCAGTGGACATAACGATCGTTTTGGATTTTATGCTGGCACTCTTCTTCTCGTTCTTTGACACGTTTTGAAAAATCGCTTTTCTGTTTGATTACTGGACCAATTGCTCTGTAATTATTAGTGGTTGAAGATAAAAAATTTCTTTAGAAGGCTATTACTTTTACTTATTTCAAACGTGTCCATATATTTGAGCATAGCTCTCGTGTTTTCCCCACTTCTGACTTGACATAATCTGAATGTGGAACAAGATGACGGACACCTGAACATAGTATGTGTACCAGGTTAGGGTTAGGCCAT